CCAATAAGCATGAAAAGATGCTGAATAACACTAGTCATAAGGAAAATACAGATCAAAACCACAATGAAATAACACTTACTATGACGATGGCTATTATCAGAAAATAACAAGTATTGGCAAGGATGTGGAGAAATTGGTAGGAATGTCAAAGGTATCAGCTGCTGTGGAAAACAATGTTTCAGTTACTCAAAAATAGAACTACCATATGACTCAGTTATCGTAATCCTAGGATGTCTTGGAAGCAGGGACTCAAACAGATATTTATACACCAAAGATCATTGCACATTGCTCATAATCCAAAAAATGGAAACAATCAAAATGCCTATTAAAAGATAAATAAAATTTTGTGTATGGTATATACATAAAATGGAATATTATTCCACTATAAAAAGTAATGCAGTTCTTATATATGCTATGACATGGATGAACCTTGAACATATTATGCTCAGTAAAATAAGTCAGACACAAAAGTGCAAATATTGTATGATCCCATTTATATGAAATATCTAGACTACAAAAAATATATAAAGACAGAAAGTAGATTAGTGGTTACCATGGGCTAGGAGAAGGAGAAAATGGGAAATTATTGCTTACTGGATACAGAGTTTCTATTTGGGGCTTTGAAAAAGTTTTGGAAACAAATAATAAAAATGTTTGCATAACATTTTGAATGCTATTAATGCCACTTGATTACACAACTGGAAATGGGTAAAATGGCAAATTTTATTTTATATATATTTCACCACAAAAAAGTCATTAAAAAAAGGGTGAAATAGAAAGCAAATAGGGTAAATTGTTAACAATTGTTGAATATAAATACAGATCCTTGGAATACTTTATGTACTGTTTCTTGAAATTTTCTCTGTGTTGATTTTTCATTACAAAAATTGGTGGGGAGGGGTGGAATAATGCATACTGAGCATAAAATGGCTTAGTTGAGTCAGGAACTGGATTTCACAATTGAGTTTGAGCCAAGAAAGTATTTCTGTTCTCAACATTGAAGTAAAGATTTCAGGGTACTCATAGGAGGGCTGAAAATGATGGCAGCATTATACCTATAAGTTATTTTAAGCATGTGTCTTCATATCCTCTATTGCAGGTCACTTTGGGTGTTTAAAAACCTGTGAATTTTGCCACCCACTGCATTAATGCAAATAGATTGCATTTGTGTACACACAAGTACTCACGGTTTCCACATCTCTGTCTGGCACCTGTATAGATATCACAAGCGTGGGAGGACACAGAAAAGCAAAATAACTTAAGGTTTAGCTGCTAATATATGAGCAAAGCTTGCTTCAGTCCCGGTAAGAACAGACACCTGTGCTGCTGGAGTGCACAATCTCTGCAGGTAAGATTCATGTCCCATCCATGAGCACAGGAGGCCTTTCATTTATTTAGGTCTTCAATTTCATTTAGCAATGTTTTATAGTTTTCAGTGTGTGGATTCAAAATCCATCCCCACTATTATTACCTGTGTGACTGTGGCCTTGATACTTAGTCCCTTTGATACCTAGTCCCTTTGAGACTGCGTACTAAGAGCTGTCAACTCTAACTAGGGTGAAAGATGAGCCTCGTACTTAACACTGTCTTTATTATCATCATGGTGGTAGTGCTTGCTCTTTCCTCAAATGGCTATGGTCTGTTTTAGTTTGGGTGTTATAGAAGTCAATGCCTAATTTCTACATGAAATGATTGTCTAAGAAGGTTCAAGTGTTACCAGAATATGATTACCAAAAATCAAGACAGTGTGGCCAAAACCAGAAATGCTCTATCAGTTTTTTCAGGGTTGTTCTGAGAAAAGCACACACTAGCTCCAAGAACAGCTTGCTGTAGTGTCAAACAGCCAAGAACTGAATTTCAGAAGACGTCTGTTCTTGATCCTGACATTGCCTATTTTATTAGCTAGCTGTGTAACTTGGAATAGAGCCATTTAATCTTCGTGTCTTAATGTCCTCACTGTGAACTAGTAATCCTAATACCTGGTTTGATTCTCTCAGAAAGATACTGTGAGGATCGGGTGAAATGTATAAAAGTTTTATTTATATCATAATAACATTTCTATATTATTGAACAACTGACTCGTGAAAAGCTAATTATGAGATCATCAAGTGTGTTTGTATAGTAAAGAAATAAAAAAATGTCTAGACTAAGAATCTAAGTTTACTAGTTGCATGATTCTAGGACAAGGATGCCTGGTGGTACACTGGTTAACCAAGGCATTTGGCTGCTAACCAAAAGGTTGATGGTGCAAACCTTTCAGCCACTCTGTGGCAGAAAGATAAGGCAGTCTGCTTCTGTAAAGACTGGCAGCCTTAGAAACTCTATGGGGCAGTTCTACCCTGTCCTATAGGATCACGATGAGTTGGAATTGACTTGAAGGCAGTGGTTTGTTGTTGGGTTTTATTTTTTTTATTTTTTTTTCTATTTTTGAAGATGGGACAGCAGTAAACTCCTCAAAGACTATCTGTCTTTAACTGTAAATATGCCATGGCTGTCTGTGACCTACTTACAGGTCAAATTAGATTATACAAGTGCCTTGTAAAGTCGAAAGTTTCTTGTTAACATAAAATAATTTTATAATCATTATTTCTATAATTTAAGAATCCATAATTTTAGTAGTTGTTGCTAAAATACACATACGGGAAAATTACTGTCTCAAAAGCAAATACTAAATTTTTATGTATACTGCAATTTTTGTCATATATGGTTGATTTGTCATTTATCTTTTTCATTATCAGGACATACTATTCTTCAGTCAACTAACATGGATGCAATTCTGGACACTTCAATTTTTTTGGGAAAATTTCTATATTTCTTTTTAGAATCTTTAGTTTACAAGATAATTCCCAAGAGAAAAAAGACTGTTGCTGGAGAAATTGTACTTATAACTGGAGCTGGAAGCGGACTTGGGCGACAATTAGCCATACAATTTGCTGGTCTTGGAGCCATTTTAGTTCTATGGGACATTAATGAAGAAGGCAATAGGGAAACGAGCAGACTAGTGAAGGAAAATGGTGGTGTAAAAGTATTTGCCTACGTGTGTGACTGTAGCGACCGGCAAGAGGTCTACAGTGTTGCTAAGCAGGTAAGTTGACTTGTGTTGTTATTTATTACCTCCTAATCTATGCTCAAGAAAAATACTGCATTTTTACAAGAAGAGAGAAGGTTGTCACAAATGTGCCCACCGTCTTTATGTGCCTCCTATTGATTCTACATGTCAGAAATCTGACCTTGTGTATTCCAAAAAGGAGATGGCATCAGGAAATGCAACTAGGAATTTGATAAGCCTTCTGAGCCAACATTGCCCAACTGCTTTTCTTGGTGATTGATTTATCTTCAAGACTGAGTAGACTGGGCCCCATCCTGGCTCTGACATATATTGGTTGTGCAATGTTTGCCAAGTTATTTACCCTCTCTAGTTTCTAGTTTCTTCATCTGTAAAATTAAGGACTTGAACTAGATGATCTTTGAGATCACTTCCATCTTTGTCTGTGTGTGTGTGTTTTTTTTTTTTTTAATTCTGATATACATCCATTATTGTCCTTCACTGAGGATATGAACAGAATGGAAACATTTGGTTTATTTCTAGATTAAGTTTCCTTTTAAACTTAGCTTACTGGTGTTTGTTGTAACTTGGCACTAAATATTGATAACATTAATAGTAATTAACATTTCTTGTGTGGTCACTATGTTCTCTAACAACAATGGTTAAGCTTTTGAGTAGTTACTATTCTAAGCACTTTACACATAATAACTCATTGAATCAAGACAAGTGTATATTATTAATAATCTCCCCATTTTAAAATGCCGAAACTAAAGAACTAAAGAACAACTTGCCCAAGGTCGTAAAGCTGGTGGCTGACAGAGCAGGATTCAAATCCAAAGCCAGGTCTCTGATTCACTAGGTTATGATCCAAGAAGGCGCATACAATTCAGTTTGATAACAGAACCCCCAAGGGATTTGACAATCTCAGCTCTGAAAATGGAAGTTACTCATTTATTAATTCAAGAAACACTTATTAAGTTATCATATATAGTCTTCATAATGAGATAAACCAGTTCCATTAAGTCACTTCCAACTCATGGCAACACCATGTGCATTAGCATAGGACTGTGCTTCACAAATTTTCAGTGACTGAGCTTTTTGGAAGTAGATCACCAGGTCTTTGCACCTCTGGGTGAACTCAAACTGCCAACATTTTGGTTAGCAGCTGAGAGTGTTAACAATTTGTTCCACCCAGGGACTTAGACACTATTATTTTATCCATTTTACTTATGATGAAACAGATAGTGAGGGAGTAAAGGACCTGTCCAGGTCATACACCAGCAAGTAACAAAGCTGATGTATGACCTCACCCACCAGCCTGGCTTCAGAGCCCATACTGCACCACCCCCCAACAAGGTGATCAACAATGTGGGAGCAATGACAAAGACACCTTGTCATATATTTCCTTTGATCAAAATTATAGTCTCCCACCTGCTCCCCACCCCTACAAAATCTTTCCTTCTTGTTTAAAATTCTCTTGCTCTCTAGGAGAAAGTCACGTTAACAAGTTAAAGACCTTAATCAAAAACCTTTCACCATTGGAATACATCTTACTTGTATTTTCTCTTCCCATCTTCATATAAATAGAATTCTTCTAAGTACTTTATCTGCCTTTTTGTTTAATTTCTGTAATTTATTTGCCCCCAAGTAACCAAAATATTAATGTTAGACCTTGTTGTTGTTTTTGTTAGATGCCATCAAGTCAATTCTGACTCATACATAGCACCCTACATACAAAAAAATGAAACACTGTGTGGTCCCAGTGTTAGAACCTACCTAGAAGGATTTTGACCAACCAGAGGCATTTCCCAAACCCCAGAAATTTATGGGTGATATGAATAGTGATGACTGCATTCTGAAGGTCACAATATTTAACTTTCCAATATTAGATTGAGGTAGCATCCTCATATCCAACATAGAAATCTGGTTTACAAATAAAAAACTTTTATTTAAATAACCAGGTTTGCATTTTATTCTCAAATGACCAATCATTAATATCAATGTGGATGTGTATGTGTGTGTGTGGGGGGGGTGGTATGCTCATGCCCGTGCACGAGTGCAGGGGCGAGTGTACTTGCATGAGATTTGTTTGTTAAAATAATAATGATTTTGGCTAAAAAGTTGTGAATTTGACTGAAAAGAGCTTTGGATATTAAATCTAAATTGGGTATGAATTGTTATTCCTCTCAAAAGCCATGGGTACTTTGGTAAAATCTTAATATCTCAGAATCTCTGCTTCCTCACCTATAAATTGAGATGATAATACATTCCTAAACTACCTCCCAGAGTCACAGTGAAAATTAAATCCCATGACCTCAATAAAGCCCGTCTTGGCTCTGGTATCGCTAAATCTCAGGGCTTTTTCTTGGAGAGGGCTATGGTGACCGATCACTCATGGTTTGTCTGAAATATTCAGCAACATCGTATGACAAGTATTCCATCTCCTTGCCTGCTATCAGACTTGGATCCATATACCTCACTGATTGGTCTAAGATTTAGCCTTGTTCACACTGATTCCTTCATTAAGTCAATGGAAATATTCATCTTTAAAAGTTAGTATCTCATGAACGTTTTCTTCTATCCTGCCTCTCTCCAAATAGGGAAAAATAACTCCCTCAGCTCAGGATCAGCTTGACAATATTAATTCTTCCTTTCACAGCTCATTTAAATCTACTACCATCAGCAGCAATGTTTACCTGGTATCTCCAAACTATATCATCTGGTAGGCTCAATACAGAGTGGTATATATCAGAAATTAAAAAACCCAGTCAAAGCAGGCAGTGTATCTTTTCAGGGGTTGGGGGGTGAGGGACAGATTGTTGTATCCAAGGATTCACACCAGTTCATTCTCGTTCAACCCCCTGCTGAGAATTTGCATTTCCACCTCAGATATACTGAATCAAAATGAACACTTTAACAAGATCCCCAGTTGATTCTAATGTATGCATAAGAAAGCAATGGAAGGTGCTTAGGATATGCCTTATAGTAATATTACCACAGCAGTGCAACTTAGGGAACAAATAGCCACGGACAGTCATTAGATTTAGGGCAATCTTTTGGACAAGAGTATGCACTATCATAGAAGTCTATAGACAGCATGGCAAACATAAAGTGTGGGATGCCTTCATGCCAAGAGTTGCCCACCCATCAGGAAATGCAGTAGGATCCCCACAATTTTGCTCACAGAAGAGTGGAAAAGTAATACCTGCAGAAGCAACTGTCAGTTCACGTTGATGGAAGATTTAAGTGCCTCTGAAGAAAACATTCATAGGGAGACGCCCCTCTTACAACACCACTAGTCAGTGACCATGAAGAAAAGGGCATGAGCATAACAGAAATAACAAGTACTGAAAATTTATTGCAACATTAGGTCATTTTCACAAAAACATCAAGATGCTTTAAACAAAATTACCAAACTAACGTGTTTTTGATATATTTTATCAGAAAGTTACTTTAAAATTGCTAAATTTCCATACTCAAGACAAAGAAAGATAAAGTATCTAATTCTGAGAAAAAGGAGATACAAATGATGATCTAAAAAAATATATATCAAAATATAGTGCTTCAAATTAATTCCTTTTTGCTTCCCTCTATCCAGGTTAAAAAAGAAGTTGGTGATGTGACCATCCTCATTAACAATGCTGGAATCGTGACAGGAAAACAATTCCTTGATATTCCAGATAATATGGTAGAAAAGTCATTTCTTGTAAATGCCTTGTCTCATTTCTGGGTAAAATTTCTTTCTTATTTAATTTTCCTTATTGATGAGTCTGAAAATTCAATATATTTCAGTAAACAAATATTTTGTATTGGCAATAGTATGACAAACATTCACTCAAGGGCACAAAAGTTAACAGCCCCATAAGAAAGTATATTCTGACAAAATAAGGATCTCTGCTCACTGGACAGATTACACAAAGGCAAAGAATAAGATTTTAATACCCTTGTTTAGAACAGACTGAATATTACATGACCAAAATTAAACTACCAGGTCCCTCATCTTCCTCATCCATAAATTTCTCTTTCTCATTAATTTTAATATGCATCTATATATGTATGAATTAAAAACATAAAAATATATTATAGCTAGGTAATAATATCATTTTAGCTTTCAGCTTTAACTTTAAAATATAATTAATCTTATCAGTATATTAGAAGATAAGAATATATACCACAATGAATTTGCCATCTTAATTCAAACTTTACAGAAAGCAAGTAAAAGCTGTGTTTGGTAACTCAACGACTTTGCTTTATGAATTAATCCAATTTAGTATTATCATGAAGTCTCCAAGTCCCTTAAGTTGTCACTGCACAGTGATACAGTCACTACTGATATTAAAAAGAAATGACTTCTAAAAACAGTGAAAACCAGTGCAAGTGGAATAACTAAGTTCAAATGATTTACAACATTGTCTCAATTTCAAAAATACAAAATCCTTTTTTTACAAGGAAGTCATCATTTGTTATAAATTCAATTTAATTGAACACATATATGCATTCTTCTAACATGAAATATTTTGTGGAAACAATAATAACTTACCTAAGCCATTAACCAAACCAATGTGAAAAATTTTAGGAAGTTCACTAGTTTTCATGAGAAAAACCAAGTTTTTTTATATCAAATATAATCAAGCAAGCCTAATGACAAATCAGTGAAAAGAGACACAGCTGTTATTCAAAAGGCTATTTTGTTCATAGATTTATATTAAAAAAAAAAAAAAAAAAATCCCAGTTCTGGGCAAGACATTCCGCAGGTAGTGCAAACAGATTGGTGCTCAACTACTAACCAAAAGGTTGGCAGTTGGAACACACCCAGAGTTACTTTAGAAGGAAGGCTTCATAGTCTGCTTCTGAAAGGTGACAGCCCTGAAAACCCTATGGAGCTGTCCTGCTCTGCACACATGAGGTTGCTGTAAGTGGGCATCAACACAGGTGCCTTGTTTTTTGTTTGTTTGTTTTGTTTTGTTTACTATTATTTATTTATTTATTATTTACTAGGAGGGAACAGAAAAGTTCCCTGAGAGAACCTAAGAAGCAAAGAAATAGGACATTCTTCATGGCATGGGGACTTAGATCACTGAATTAGTATCTTTTCTGAGAATGAATGAATGAATTTGACCAAATAGCTAAGAATGTATCTAAGTCATGGTAGACTGTTGCAAAGCATGTTACTTATCAAAGTATGTTTCTCTGGCACTGAAATACATCCTTCCATAAGCAATTTCTCTGTCTGCCAATCCATTTGGGTGAAGAGAAATTTTGTTTATGATAAAGCCAGGAAGATTAATGAGATTAAATTGTAATACAAATTTCTAAAAACTACGTGGAAGAACTCAGCATACTAGAAAAACTAAGATTTAACTTTTTTTTAACAAATCATAAATGTAAAATACTCATTTAATTCAATTGCTATAGTTTACCTAAAAGGAAAAACAAATACAAATCAAATGATATCTTACAGATTAACACATAATAAACTATAAGGTTATTGAGGACAGTTACTATACAGTACTTAGCTTTGCACTGACATGTAATTTAACACATCATAAGTATTCAATATTTGTTCAAATGAACTAGCAAATTCATCAAATATTTACTGAGCAAATAAAATAATAAGTGAATAAAATATTTATAGTGTATTTATATTTTCTAGACTTATAAGGCCTTCCTTCCTGCCATGATTACAGCTAACCATGGTCACTTGGTATGTATTTCAAGTGCAGCAGGACTATGTGGCATTAATAGACTGTCAGGTGAGTGCTTTGCTACACAATGTGACTTTGTACTCCCCACTACATAACAACTCAAAATTGGGACTCTTCCAAGATAAAAGAAATTCTTCCTGCACCAAGGGGGAAATCTTTGGTACATTTGGCTCTATTTATAATGCCAGTATTCCATTCTATTTACCCATTTCTCTTCTTTCTCACAACTGAAGAGAAGAATATAACCTATTGGCTTATTTGTCTTAGGAGAAATTGAGGTAATTCCCATCTTGTATTTATTCAGTGACTTGATGTTGATTGTATAAGTGTGGAGATGAAAGAATGGAGTGTTTGGTCAAATAAATGATTTTAACAGTGATGCCACATAGGACAAGCCTGAAAAAGGGTAGGAGTGGTTCAATTTTTAAATAGCTTCAAGAATTAACTAACTAAACTCTATTTATAATGGCTCCTAACTTTGTTTTAGATTATTCTGCAACTAAGTTCGCAGCCTGTGGTACTGCAGAATCTCTCTTCTTTGAACTAAGTTTGCAAAGGAAAAGTGAAGTTAAAACTACCATCATTTGCCCATATCTCATAAAAACGACAATGTTTGAAGGTTGTGAAACCAAGTAAGTAAAATTGTATAGTAATCTTTGTTCTTAAAATAATAATCCAATATCTATCAATATCTTATCATTTTGAAGTTCTGAATTACAGACAGTAAAACAAAAGAAATAATTTTACTGCAAAAACTTCCAGTATTAATAAATTAATAAATTTACTTAGTAAATTTTTTAATAATTTTTTTATATAATAAAGCTAAGTTAATAATATAGTTTATGTATAGTGAAAAAAGTTAAAATACTGATAATGATATTATAATATAATAAGAAAATTGGTAATGGGAAGTGACATTTGGTAAAAAGGTTAAATTTAACTTAGAACAGTAAAAACTAGGGTGCAAATGAAATATGAGATATTTTACACAAGGTAGCCAAATAGTAGAGTACATTGAAAAAGTGTAAATTCAGTATAAGGACAAGTGAAGTCATTATGTTTGTCTAAAAAGGGGATTGGTGTGTTCTAAATGGAAGGAATCAGCTGTATTTGTAGAAAAGACAATTATCCAACAAAAATGTTACTTAAAAGGCACTGAGGCTATTTAGAGTCTATTAAAGCTATAAAATTAAATACAAAGTTTCGAAACAGGTGGTGAAAGAGTGGACAGGAGTAAAGGGGGGAATGGGCCTTTTATAATAGGGGTGTGAGGAGCTCATAGAAACCTGTCTCCCAAAGAGACATTGATTGAGTTGGTTAACTCAATCATTCAAAATCTCTGAAGACTGAACAAAGGACTTACAACAAATTTAAAAGCATTTATTCAACAAAATCTAAAGAAACTGAGCAAGAACATGGGAGGTCATGCATTGGAGCTAGGGACTGCATCTTTCCCCACCACAGTTCTGCCTTGTAGAATAACTGTTTCAGTGAACTTGGACATCAAGCACCTTAGAGTAGAAGAGCTAATCTCAGTGTGTTTGGAAGCAGTGAATATCAGAATAACCCATTTTTCATAACTCCAAGCTGTTGAAGTCCTATAATGAAGGGCTAGCAGCAACCAGACACTACTTGTTTTTCTACCTTAAATTCCTACTAAGTAAAAGAGATTCAGGAGAAGTTTTTGATGAAGAGTGCAGTTCTTCTTTGCAACACAGATTTGTACTGTGGGAGAGCTATTCCAGTGGGATCAGCAGTTGAGTGGCAGCTCCCATTTCCTTGAGCTTCCTAGGGTGGAAGACCTTTTTTGGGTAGATTTTTCAGATGGTGAACATCAGTAGGTTCTATGCCCCCAGGCTCCGGGCTGCAAAAGATCCATACTGGGTGGTAGAAGCACCTAAGTGGCAACACTTGTTCCTGCCACCCCTGCCCCTGACCATATGGATCATGTTCCATAGGGACAATTCAGACAGCCAGTGAATAGTGAGTTTCTCATTGCCCTCAGCTCAACTCCTGCTCCATAGTGCAGATGTTCTGCCAGATGAGTGTCAGTGCTAACTTCAAAGACTGACAACTATTTGCCCCTGCCATATATAAGATCATACATCAGGGTATTATGAAAAAGAATAGTGCAACCAGCTAGCATATTGTGGAGTCTAAGAGGGGGATGAGACTGACCAGTCAAATCTCAATCAGGGAAAGAGATAGTCAAAAAAAGCCTGGCAAAAGTACAGTTATCTCTGGCAGTCAGGAAGTCTGTGTGCATGCTCAAGATTTCATCCTCTGAGGAATACATCAAAAGCAGCACATTGTGGGGAGAACAGACTTCACTGAACTAGTCCAGTCAATTCATTAAACAAATAAACAATCAAACAACAATAACAATAAACCTCACATGGAATAACTATACAGAGTTGATACAACATATTATCTAAAATTCCAGTTTGTAACAAAATCATGAGGTATGTAAAGAAGTAGGAAAGTGTGACTTATACACAGGAAAAAATTAGGTATTATATTTGAGGGGTCCAAATGTTGGAGTTAGCACATGAACTTCAAAACAGCTATTATTAGTATGTTCATAGATCTAAAGGAATCAATGTTTAAAGAATAAAAGGAAGTTATGATTACAATAGCTCATCAAATATAAATTAAGAGAACTATTATAAAAACAAGAACCAATGAAAAGAATAATAACTGGAAAGAAAATTAATTAGAATAGCTCAACAGAAGATTTGCAAAAGAAAAAATCCATAACCTTGAATATAGATTGATGGATGGTAGGATGGATAGATAGATATAGATAAATAGATAGATAGATAGGTATTACATAATCAAAAGAAAAGGGAGAAAAAATAATGAAGAATAATCATCAGAATCTCACAGAAATCAATATACATATGAGTATATGTTGATTGCCAGAAAGGGAGAAGAAACAGAAAGGAACAGAAAAAAATATTCTAAAAAAAAAAAAGTGGTTGAAAACTTACCAAATGTGATGATGAACATTAGTTTACATCTTCAAGAAGCACAACAAACTCCAAGTAGGAGAAACATAAAGGGTGCCATGGCCAGACATATAATAACCAAAAAGTTGAAATCTGAAGACAAAGAAAATCTTCAAAGGAGCAAGAGAAAAAATGACCCATCATGAACAAGGGAATCTCAATATGATAAAAGCTTAATTATCAATGGAAATAATAGAATCTAGAAGACAATGGGATGATATATTTAAAGTTCTGAAAGATAAAAACCACAAACAAAAACTAAGCTTCTTTAAAGAATAAAATGTATAAAGTAATAATTACAACAATGCATTGTTGAGTTTATAACATATATAGATATAATATATATACAAATACTAACACAAAAGAGGAAGAGGTAATAGAGCTATATAGGAGTAAAGTTGCTATAACTAATTGGAATTAGGTGAAATCTGAAGCAAATTCTGTTAAAAGAAGATATATAGAGATTTATATATAAATATATAGATATAGATATATAGGTACAGATATATAGATACAGATATATAATGCCCTAGGAGCTCTGGTAGCGTAGTGCCTAAGGCACTTCACTGGTAACCAGAAGGCTGACGGTTCAAACCCACCAGCCACTCCTCAGAAGAAAGATGGGGCAATCTACTTCTATAATGATACTGCCTCGGAAACCCAAGGAGGGGTCGCTATGAGTCAGGTCCGACTCAACGGCACATAACAACAACAACAACATATAATGCCCTAGAGCAATCACTAAGAAAATAACTAAAAAATGTAGTTAAAAATCATTAAACGAGTTGCTCCAGAAAATATTCATTTAATGCAAAAAAAGGAAAAACAGAAGAACAAAATGATATGAGACATTCAGAAAACAGTTTGGCAATTCCTCAAAAAAGTTAAAAATAGAGTTACCATATGACCCAACATTTCCACTACTAGGTATTCACCCAAGAGAAATGAAAGCATATATCCATAAAAAGCTCATTCATAAATGTTCAGAGCAGCATATTTATAATAGTCAATAAATGGAAACAACTCTAATACCCATCAATGGGTGAACAGATAAGCAAAATGTGGTACATGTATACAATGCAATATTATTCCCTTAGAAAAAGGAATAAAGTATTGATATATGCTCTAATACAGGTGAACCTTTAAAACGTTATGCTAAGTGAAAGAAGCCAAACATAAAAGGCCATATATTATATTCCATTATTATGAAAAGTTCAGAATAGACAAATCTATAAAGACATATGGAGCTCTGGTAGCATAGTGCCTAAAAAACTTGACTGCTAACCAGAAGGCTGATGGTTCAAACCCACCAGCCGCTCCTCGGAAGGAAGGTTGGGCAATCCTACTTCCGTAGTGATACTGCCTCAGAAACCCAAGAAGGGGTCGCTATGAGTCGGGTCCGACTTGACGGCATATAACAACAACAACATAAAGACATATAGCGAGCTCTGGTGGCATAGTGCCTAAGGCATTTGACTGCTAACCAGAAGGCTGGCAGTTCAAATCCACCAGCCACTCCTCAGAAGGAAGTTGGGCAAACTACTTCTGTAGAGAGACTGTCTCTGAAACCCAAGGAGGGGTCGCTATGAGTCAGATTTGACTCAATGGAAGTGAGTTTGGTTTGGATTTGGTATAAGGACATAAAGTACATTAGTGGTTTCCAAGGATTGAGAGGAGGGAAAATGAGCAGTTACTGCTAATGGTTACAAGATTTTTGGGGGAAGTATGAAAATGTTGTGCAATTAGACACAGGCATATCTAAAAGATATTGCGGATTCAATTCTAGACCACCACAATAAAGTGAATATTGCGATAAGTGTCACATGGGTTTATTAGTTTCCCAATGCATATAAAAATTATGCTTACACTATGTTGTTGTTAGGCACCCTAGAGTTGGCTCTGACTCATAGTGACCCTATATACCACAGAATGAAACACTGCCGGGTCCTTGCACCAACCTCACAATCCTCACCATACCCAAGCCCATCATTGCAGCCACTGTATCAATCCATCTTGCTGAGGGCCTTCTCTTTTTTTGCTGACCTTCTACTTTCCCAAGGATGATATCCTTCTCCAGGGAACAGTTCCTTCTGACAACACGACCAAAGTAGGTGAGATGAAGTCTAGCCATTCTTGCTTCCAAGGAGCATTCCTGCTGAACTTCTCCCAGGACAAATTTGTTCCTTCTTCTGGCAGTCCATGGTATTTTCAGTATTCTTCACCAACACCACAACTCAAAAGCATCAACTCTTCTTCAGTCTTCCTTATTTATTGTCCAGCTTTAAGATGTACATGAGGTAATTGAAAACACCATGGCTTGGGTTAGGCACACATTAGTCTTCAAAGAGACACCTTTGCTCTTCAGCACTTTAAAGAGGTCTTTTGCAGCAGATATGCCCAGTGCAGCACATCATCTGATTTCTTGCCTGCTGATTCCATTGGTGTTCATTGTGGAACCAAGTTGAAATCTTTTATAAGATTTACAAGTTTATACTATAGTGTAGTTTAATATACTGGAAGCATAACTTAGTGTAAGAATAACTTAGACAGACTTGGAAGAAGGAAGAGACCATCCACTTCTCAAAGAATCAGCCAGTGAAAACCTTATGAAGAGCAGTGAAACA